TGGCTGACGTCAGCGCGCATTGTACACCCCGACGGTCTACTGCGATGCCGCTGCGGGCGCAGCCGACCTGACTGGCTTGCACGCTACTTTGCGCCCGCGGCTCCGTCGCGCCACAGGTCGAGCGCTTGGCCGGGACCTACCTGTCACTCTTCCAGCTCGTCTGGGCCTCGCGGAACCCAAGCCCGAGAGGTTTGAGGAGATGTTCGTTGCTTGCCAGATCTTCAATTTGACCTGGGAGCGCTGCGGCACAATCGTCCCCAGGACTCTTTCCTCGCTCGCGGCTGCTGCTGTGCGGCCGTTGCGTCTCTCGCGTCCTGCGCAGGCGCTGCAAAAGTGGCACCCGCCGTCGAGGGTACTCATCGGCCCCACTCGAGTCCATGATATTTCTTCTACGTCCGACCCCAGCGCGACTTCCGACTCCAGCTCTTCGGGCCCGGAGAATGATGCACCTGACGACGACCCGTCCCGACCAGGTCCGACTGGGGGCTTTCGGGGTGGACCGTCTGTGGGATTGTCGTCGTCGGTTTGCACGTCGCCATGTTCTGCGAGCTCTCCAACGGCGTCGTTGCCAAGCGGGCCAGGAGTTGGGGGCGCCCACAGATTGCCCCGCTCAGTGCCCTACAGGAGTCAAGCTCCTACTCCAACCCCTGCATCGGCGCGCACAGTTAGACGGCGAGCCCCGTCGTGGGCGTCGGGGTCACCGTCGCCGCTTGCTGGTTGCAAGCCGCCTTCCTCGTCGGGCGCTTGCGTTGGCGTTAGATCGCAAGTCCCGTTGTCGCGTTCGGGCTCACCGTCGCCTTCCCCTGCTGGATTCGCCGCGGTGTCTCCCGCGTTGGGCGTTAGATCGCAAGTCCCGTTGTCGTGTTTGGGATCGCCGTCGCCGCTTTGCCGAAGCCTCGAAGATGGCCTGCTGGCTCATGGCGTTAGGTCGCAAGTCCCGTTGTCGCGTTCGGGCACCACGTCGCCGCGCAATGAAGTTTCTGGCGTCAACCCGTCGACAGCGACAGCGGTTGAGACCAGCGGACGAATTGGCTTGCCGACACCAATGTCGCCATCGTTTCCTATTTCCGCGGGAACGTCGGCGACGCGTTCGAGAGCGGTCGCGACGGTTGGGGATGGAATGCTGGTAGGTCTCGATGAAATTGTGACGAGTATCTCCAGAGGCTTCGGCCACCGCGACGGCGGCGGGGGCGATGGGTGGTCGGCCGAGGTATCCATCCATAGCCCCGGCCCTACCTGCATTTCCCCCGCCAGCCCCCCGCTGTTCTGCGGGGCGACGGCGCCCATGCCGCGCCGGGCCCCTGCCTCGTCATGTCCTCCGATTGCTTCCCCAACGCCAGCTTCCGCGCGTGCGCCGATTGCTCCGTCGACCCCTTGCGGGGTAGAACGCCCGCCCGCCACCTCCCCTCTGCACCCTCCCACGTGTTCCCTCTTGTCGGTCCCCAGTCACTTGAAAGCTTCCAGGACCATCTTTGCCACTTGCCTTATTTCTATGCTGCAGAATGCTGACCTCGCCTCGCCTGGTCCTTCGCTCGCGATTCTTGCCTCTGCCGCTGCGTGCCCCCCTCCCGCTCCCTCTCCCCACGTTGCCTCGATTGACAGTGCGGTTCTCCGCTCTTGTGCGTCCCGCCACTCTTCCCCCTGCCATCTGAACACCTCCTTCAGCTCGTCCTCGTTGTCTGCCGCCGCGGCCGCTGCGCGTGTATCCTCCGTCGTCGCTGCCGACACTGCCAGCAAGCGCGACGTCGAGGGGGGCAGGAGGCCACGGGGTCTCTAGCCGTTGTTGGTGACGACGTTGCCCCCTCTACGCTCGTCTCCTCCTCCTCCTGCCTTGCTTTTCTCCTCCGCTTATGGCAGGTGCTTTTGTTCTGTTTCACTTTGGCAGGGGCCTAGGTTTTAAGCGGCCGACTTTCGTGAGAGCCTCTTTGGTCTCCGCGCTCCCCCCTCTCCCCCCTCCTCGTCTTCTTCCTCCTCCTCCCCCCCTTATAAGCCATCTTTCGCAGGAGAGCTCGCCAATGCAACTGGACGTTTCCCATGCTCGCCCACGCGCGTATTGTCGCGGGTACTTCAGCCACCACGCCGGCCGCGACCGCTTAGTTCGCAACCCGATTTCGTTGAGGCCGACTCGCGTTGAGGTCGACTGGCATGGACTTCTCCTCCTCCTCCTCCTCCTCCTCCGCTTCATCCTCCTCCGCTTCATCCTCCTCCTCCTCTTCCTCTTCTGCCTCCTCCTCCTCCTCATCCTCTTCCCCTCAGAAATGATGGAGGTCATGATGATTATGGCGCCGATGATGATAATGTTGCTGCGTTTGATGCGGATGATGCGGGTGATGATGATGACGAGTGTAGTGAGGATAGAGCTGACGATGGTGCTGATGATGATGACGATGACGATGGCGATGCTGATGATGATGCGTACCATTATTATGAGCATGATGACTTTGATTACGACAATGGTGATGATGCTGATGATGCTGGTGATTATGGTGTTGATGATGCTGTTTGTGATGATGATGATGGTGATGTTGATGATGGCGATAATGATGGTAATGATAACCATAATGATCGTGGTGATGGCGATGATGCTGGGACTGATGCTGATGTTGATGATCGTGATGATGGTGGTGATGAGGACTACGATGTTCTGGATGACGTCGGCGGCGATGATGGCGACGACCACGGCCTAGGCAACGATGGTGATTCTGACTCCTCGTGCCCTTCGTCGCAGCGGCCGCACTCGCTCGTGGACCCCACTCCTCTCGGCATGCGCTAGACCTTGAGCGGCCGCGAAGCGCGCGATGGTCCTGGTGTGTGTGTGTGTGTGCTGCAGGCTCGCGTCGTGTCGACCGGCGGCGGCCCCATAGCGGGCGTTTAAGGACCCTAATTGATTTGGGGGCAATCACACGACCGCGGCCGCGCAGGTCGCATTGCCAGAGGATGCTGGGGACTGTTTTTTGGCTCCACAGTTCAGCTCCGAATCACCACGCCAGCCACTTAGGACGTTCCAGCAAAAACTTGTGATTTGCCCATGTCGAGTGCCCAGTGCGGGCAATGAGCCCCACACTGGGCACTCGAGTGGGGTGGTGAGCTCTAGGGGCGACTTGAGCAGCCCAACTCGTGTGAGGGGCTTCTCGAGGCTGAGGCAACGTGATGGGGTAGACCGAGTAGGCTGAGCCGGCTCGACACGGGCTAACAGCAACCGGGTCAGCTAGGCCTAGCTCGTGGCTGGGCTCACCGGAGCCGCCTGAGCCGAGGCTGCCCAAGCTCACTGACGCGAACGCCGCCTGTGGCCCAGAATCGGCCCATCCTTGAACGATCCGGCCTCTTTGGAAGGGCCGATCGTTCAATTTTGAAGGATCCCCGCGGTGTCAGGAGCCAACGCCGGGGTCGATCCGACGCGAACCTGCCGCATGTGTATATATATATATGTATATGTATGTATATATGTATGTATGTATATATATATACACATGCAGATAGTTGTTCTTAGGCCGGCTGCGAGGTCCTCCTCCCGGATCCGGAATCGGCGGCCGGTGGCCCGTGGTCTCCCGTAGGGTTGTGTTGGTGATCTCCCGTATGGCCCGCCGAACGGTTTCCCGTATGGTTCCCCGCTGTTCTCCCATATGGTCTCTCTGTTTGGTCTCCTTCATGACCTCAAGCTTGGGCATCTCAGGAGATGATTTGCTGTTTTCCGAGTGGTCTTTGTCTTTCTTATGGTCTCGTGGTCTAAGGTCTGTTCTATTATTATATTCCACTCCTCTTCACCTTCTGTGGTATTGTCTGCACTGCTCCCAGTAGTACTCTGAAGAGCTGTTCAGGTATTCTGCCGCCAAGTGTTCCCCAACCTTCCTCTGGTTGGGCATTCGCTTTGCATAGAGCACTGTGATCTCTGTCCTATCCACCGCCTCTTCCTGCCTCCATATACTTCCCCCAGTTCCCCATCCAGCCTCCTGCTTCCTGCTGTATTCAAGGCACTCCCTTTGCTTGGTCCTTCGTTTTGAATATAGCGCTGCTCGCGTAACCTCCTCCCGCCCTCACTTGCCTCTCCCTCCTCTTGCCTTCTGATCCTGCTTGATTTCCTGCCTCAGCACGATACTCGCTGCGAACTGCGCAACAGTCGCCGCTTTCGTGGGCTCCTGGGAGGCCCAGCGGAGTGGCGTCCCACGGACACCCAGGCGAGACCTCGCCCTTCCCGCGGGGCTGCTGGGCTCATGGGAGGTCCATCGAAGTGACGTCGTACGGGGATCCAGACGAGACCTCGCCGTCCCCGCGGGGCTACGAACTGCGCAACAATCGCCGCTTTCGTGGGCTCCTGGCAGGCCCAGCGGAGTGGCGTCCCACGGACACCCAGACAAGATCCCCCCCCCGCGGGGCTGCGGACTGTGCAACTGTCGCCACTTTTGTGTGGGCCTTTCGGGGATCCTGGGAGGTCCAGCGGTGTGAAGTCCTATGGGGATCCAAACGAGACCTCGCGCCACTTTCGTTGTCTCTCGGGAGGCCCTCCGGAGTGGGAGAACACTCGGATCCAACCGAGACGTCTTTGGCGAAGCGTTCAAGGATACGGCAAACCCCTCATTGTGTTCTTCTGTATTGAGCGGTCCTGTTTATAGCCGCCTAGTGTTCAGAAGCGGCTGGGTACGTCTCGGGTACGTGACTTCCTTGTCCTTGGCCTCCTCCTCCTCGACCAACGTCTTCGTGTTGATTTAATTCGGAGGGAGGGAGGACGGGAGGGAGAGGGGGGTATCATAATGTTGACGACAATCGGGACGGTTGAGGACGGGGAGGTGGAGGGGGTCCATGGAGGTATGAGGAGAAGGAGATGGAGAAGGCAGGAGTAGGGCCCCCTTCACCCCTCGACGGTCTTCCTCCTCGTCCTCTTCTAAGAACCAGTACCTCAGGCGCCTTCGGCCTCTCTTCGTCCTCTTCGTCCTCTCTTCGTCATCTCTTCGTCCTCTTCGTCCTCTCTTCGTCCTCTCCGTGCTCTCCCTCCCACCACCGAGGCGCTCGGGCCGATGAGCCCAGGCGTCGCCACGATCCCCAAGATCCGGCGGGGCTCCTTCCTCGTCGTCGGCGACTGGGGCTGGGACGAGAAGAACTCCGGCGGCATCACCCAGGAGGGCGGCGGCAGAGGAGGAGGGAGGCGCGGGAGGAGGAGGACGAGGAGAAGTGAGGAGCAGGAGGGAGGAGGGAGGGGCAGAGGAGGAGGATGATGAGGAGGAGGAGGAGGGCAGTGGCGGAGGAGGAGGAGGGAGGAGCAGGAGGAGGACGAGGCGGGATCGCCGAGAACGACACACATACTCTTGTGGAGGGCCGCGCGGATGTCCCTTGGGTCGTCTCTGGGCCCGGCGTGCCAGGTGTGATCTGGTGTGCCTGGCGAGCTGCCCCGCCAGTTCACTGCATTCGCTCACGTTCGTGCGAAGCCTGAGTGCAGCCAACCTGCATAGTAAGGAGGGGCAGGCTTCCCTGGGATAGCCTTGCATCCTTCCCCCTCGGCCCATCCTTGGCCGCGTTCGCTGGCCGCGCCCCGCTCGCCGAGTGTCGACATGGCCTTCCAAGGCCCTTGCATATTTATCGTGCGTCCTTCTCACGGGTTCGCTGTGTGCAACTCGTGTCTTGTTTCGAAGAAGGAGCAGCGCCATAAACATAAACCGTTTGCGCGCCGCTCAGATTTCTTGGTCCGCGCCAGAAGTTTCTGTTCATGCCGTTTTTTCTTCGCTTGTTGCAAGGCCTTTTGCATCCTTCTCGCGCGCCTTTCTCGTACGGCTTGCTTGTGTGCGCCTCGTGTCCTGTTGGCCGAGGGCCCCCTCCCGGGGCGCACGAGCGGCCGGGCTGGGGCAGAGGGCAAGCCCCGGCTCCGCCGCGGGGCCCTCCCCATCGACATGTACCTCGCCGCCTCCGGTGCCGGGGGAGGCGCCGGGAACGCCAGCCACGTGAGCCGAGTCGCAACCCTGCGGGGCCCCAATACATACACCACCACCACCACCACCTCCCCGCCCCCCTCCCCCTCCCTCCTCTTCCTCCTCCTCCTCCTCCTTCTCCTCCTCCCCCCCTCCTCCCCCCCCTCCTCCTCCGCCTTCCTCCTCCGCCTTCCTCCTCCTCCTCCTCCTCCTCCTCCTCTTCCTGGAGTTCCTCGGTTCTTCGAAGCTTGCGGCCTCCCTCTTCCGCCCCTTTGTTTCCTCTCATGCGCAGTGTTACCTGGTTGCGCAGCCGATCGCCACCTCTGCTTCCTCCTACGGTCCGGAGCTTTGGCTTCGCGTGTCGCTCCGCCTGTTGTGGCCCACCATGCTTCGGCTCGACACGCGCCAACTCCCCGCGCCTTTCGAAGTCTCCCGCCCTGCGGAGCGGAGCGGCACGCCACGTACCCGCTTTCACGGCATAGCGTGTCGCCAGGGCCGCCGCCGCGACATGATAAGCAAAACATTCGACTACACATAACAGTGACCTTTCGCCCGAGTGACCTTCCTTTTGTGCGGGCGCAATGGGGCCTCCGAGTGATTGTGCGCGATGCGATAGCAGCGTCTTTCGCGCTCAGGTTTGGCCTCCCCGCGGCCCCCGAAAGTCGCGCAGCAAAGGTCACTCTTGCCCAGGGTCACTTCGGCGTGTAGCCGAAATCCAGAGGCGGGGGCCCATGCCTGGGGACCGGCGTTTCGTCCTGCGCCGTTTTTGGGGAAAGTCCTGGGGCCCGGTGAAGGCCCCCCGAGGCCGGAAACGACGAACAAAAACCTTTCGCCGTGAGTCGATCCTTCCTGCACGTGGCCGACCCCCCCGATCCGCTTTGCGCTGATCGGACTTCAATCCCTCCTCCTCCTCCTCCTCCTCCTCCTCCTCCTCCTCCTCCTCTTCCTCCTCCTCCTCCTCCTCCTCCTCCTCCTCCTCCTCCTCCTCCTCCTCCTCCTCCTCCCCCCTCCCTCCTCCTCCCCCTCCCCCCCGCGTTTTGTGCTTCGGCCTCTGGCGCCGGAGAAGAGGCAGGCGCGCCTCGCAGAGTGCGGCCTCCGGGGCCCGTGGCCGGGGCGCGGGGCTGCCACCACCACAGCGGAGCCTTCGGTGGGGCGGGGGGCTGCTCCGCGGGGGAGGCGCGGTAACCTACAGGAGCTCGTCTGGGGCCGCGGATAGAGAGGTTCGCATCGTCGGGTGTCGCGGCGCGTGCGAGGAGTTCGGAGGGAGGGGGGGCGAGGAGGCAGGGGCGGAGGCGGGGAGGGAGGGAGGGAGGGAGGGAGGAGCAAGATGATGGTGGTGCGGGTGGTGATGATGATGATGATGATGGTGATGATGATGAGGGTGATGATGATGCTGATGATGATGATGATGCTGATGATGATGATGATGATCATGGTGGTGGTGATGATGACGATGACGATGATGATGATGATGGTGGTGATGGTGATGGTGATGATGACGATGCTGATGAGGATGCTGATGGCAGATGGTGCTGATGGTGCTGATGGTGATGATGGTGATGATGGTGACGGTTGTGATGGTGATGATGATGCTGAGTATGATGATAATGCAGATGATTATTATTATGCTGCTGTTGGTGATGATGTTGATGATGATGGTAAAGGTGATGGTGATGGTGGTGGTGATGATATTGCTGATGGTAATCATGATGATCATGATGAGGACGACGACGACCATGATGAGGATGAGGATGAGATTGATGATGATGATCAGGAATATAAGGGTGATAGTGACTATGGCGATGACGATGACGATGCTGATGAGGGTGATGATGATTATGATGATTATGATGATTACGCGGATGATACTGACTACGAGGATGATGATGAGAGTGATGATAAAGGTGATGATGATGAAGACGATGATGACGATGGTGACGATGCTGATGTTGCTGATGACACTGATGATGCTGATGATGATGGTGATGCTGCTCATGATGATGGTGGTGGTGATGTTGATAATGATGATTATGACGATGATTATGCTAATCATGATGCTGAGGTTGATGATGCTGATGATGATGATGCTGACTATGATGATTGCGATGATGATATTGCTGATAGTGCTGATGATGGTGGTGATGATGATTCTTTTGGTGATGATGAGTATGCTGTTGTTGATGAAGATTTCGATGACGAGGAGGAGGAGGAGGAGAAGGAGGAGGAGAAGGAGGAGGAGAGATGGAGAGTACCACACGCCCGGCATGACCGCTACGTCAGCTTTCCCAGGATTGCCAGAAAAACATCGCGGCTGCGATGGACAGAAAGATGACCGAGCTTGGGGATGTGAAGTTCGTGATTAGCTTGGGTGACTCGTTCTACTCCAACGGCGTCGAAGACAAGAAGGACTCGATGCTGGAGGCAATCATGTCACACTCCTCTTGCTCCTCCTCCTCCGCCTCCGTTCTTTGTCATCTGTCCTTATCCTTGTCGTTCTTGCCCTCTCCTCGTCCTGGTCCTCGTCATCATCTTCATCCTCCTCCTCGTCCTCGTCCTCGCCGTCGTGGTCCTTGTCCTTGTCCTCATCGTCGTTCGCATCGTCGGTGTCGCTGCTGTCGTCCTTCTTCCCCTCCTCATCCGCCAGAGTGCGACACAGGCTTACATGAGCACTGCTTTCGAAAAATGGTCGGAAGCAGAGGCCAAGACAAGTCCCAGTCTTCAAGCATCAAAGATCCTAATGTTTCCCAGCCTCCCACCACACGAGGCAGAGCGACACGCTACCAGCTTGCAGGGCACAGTGTGTCGCGGGGGCCGCCGACGCGACACGCTAAGCAAACGTTGTTGACCGTGGGAGGTGGACGAAAGGAAGTGAAAGGATCAGGCGGAGGAAGAGAACAAGGAACCAAAGTAGGAGGAGGAGGTCCAGAAAGAGGCCCAGGAAGAGGTGGAGAAGGAGGAGGAGGAGGAGGAGGAGGAGGAGGAGGAGGAGGGCGCGCCAACAGATGCCGTCCGTGCAACCGGACGACAGGATGCTAAGAAGAAGGATCCACGAACCACCAGACCACCAGTGGTGCCGACAGGGTGCACCAACAGGATCCGCGATTCACGCCCACGACTCCCCCGTGGGCTGCCCGTCTCGGGATGACGCCCAGCGATCAGGCCCTCCCGAGCACGGCGACGGCCGGGTGGAAGACCACGCGGGTCAGGGCAGGGGGCTCGAAAGGCTGATCCCGCCATGGACAGCCCCGTAGGCCCCACACCGCCGACACCAGACGGCCTGCCCCAGCATGGGGTGCCTCCGCGCGTGGGCGGCACGCCGGGCCTCCGGAGGAGCGGAGGCCGGCAAGGCCTCGCCTGCGCGTGGGCTGCGCGGCGGGCCAGGAGTGTCGCTGTCCTGAGGGGCTTGAGGGGGCACAGGGGAGAGGGGGAGGAGGAGGAGGAGGAGGGGGAGGAGGAGGAGGAGGAGGAGGAGGAGGAGGAGGAGGAGGAGGAGGAGGAGGAGGAGGAGGAGGAGGAGGAGGGAGGAGGAGGAGGAGGAGGAGGAGGCGGAGCGGAGGCGGAGGCGGAGGAGGAGGGAGGCGGAGGAGGAGGGGGAGGGGAGGAGGAGGAGGAGGAGGAGGTAGGAGGAGGAGGAGGAGGAGGAGGAGGAGGAGGAGGAGGAGGAGGAGGAGGAGGAGGAGGAGGCGGAGGCGGAGGCGGAGGAGGAGGAGGAGGAGGGAGGAGAGAGGAGGAGGGGAGGAGGAGGAGGGAGGAGGAGGAGGAGGAGGAGGAGGAGGAGGAGGAGGAGGAGGAGGCGGAGGCGGAGGCGGAGGCGGAGGGAGGAGGGGGAGGGGGAGGGGGAGGAGGGGAGGAGGAGGAGGAGGAGGAGGAGGAGGAGGGGGAGGGGAAGGGGGAGGGGGAGGGGGAGGGGGAGGAGGAGGAGGAGGAGGAGGAGGAGGAGGAGGAGGAGGAGGAGGAGGAGGAGGAGGAGGAGGAGGAGGAGGAGGAGGAAGGAGGAGGAGCGGAGGCGGCGGCGTCGGCGGCGGCGGCGGTGGCGGAGGAGGAGGAGGAGGAGGAGGAGGAGGAGAGGAGAGGGGGGAGAAGGAGGAGGAGGAGGAGAGAGGAGGAGGAGGAGGAGGAGGAGGAGGAGGAGGATGGGGGTCCGGTGCAAGTCTGGGGGCAGGCAGGCGGTGGCTTGGCTGCCCGAAGGACCCGGAGTGGGACCTGAAGTGGCGCTGGGTGTACAGCGTGCAGCTTCGCAGTGTCGCCTGGTACAGCGTGTATGGCGACCACGACTACCACAAGGACTCCACTCCCGCACCTCCCCTTCAGGACGAGGAGGAGAAAGAGGAGGAAAACGAGGAAAAGGAGGAGGAGGAGGAGGAGGAGGAGGAGGAGTTCGGAACGAACGGGAGGAGGATATGGAGAAGGAGGAGGAGGAGGATGATCAGAAGAAGGAGGAGTAGGAGTAGGAGGAGGAGGAGGAGGAGGAGGAACGTGGTGGGAGGAATAGTAGTGGGAGGAGAAGGAGAAGGAAGAGGATGAGCATGAGCATCCATGAGCATACATCCCCAGGCCGAAAGCTTTTTCCTCATGGACTAAACAGATGAGAACATCAACGGATCCAATTTGATCCCTTTTCGGGTGTGGGAGAGTTTCGTGGATGCTATTTCTGTGTTGCGGGGATCCAATTTCCTGTGTGTGAAAAAAACGATGGATCCATTTATTTCCCGGGAATACATAGATCATGATAATTAACGTCCGGGACCCAGGGGAAATTGGATCCGCGGAGCACCGCAAGTGAAGCATCATGCTACATCCCCAGTATCCACGGAGCTGTGGATCTGCAGACCAATGCTATGATTCTACGGGGGAGGGGGTCTTCCCAGAATGAAGAGGGGAAGGATGAGGAAAAAAGGCAAGAGGACGACATGTGTGGCTCAGGAGGAAAATCGTTCGGCCTGCGGAAGTAAGCATGAGGATGATGATGATGAGGAGGATGCTGAGGAGGATGAGGATGAGGATGAGCACGAACATCCATGAGCATGAGCAAGAGCATGATATTGAGATTGGGAATGGAGATGAGGATGATACATCTGATGGTGCTGATGCTGCTGATGATGATGATGATGATGATGATGATGATGAGGAGGAGGAGGAGGAGGAGGAGGAGGAAGAGGATGAGGATGAGGAAGAGGATGAGGAGGGGGAGGAGGAGAAGGAGGAGGAGGAGGAGGAGGAGGGGGTAGTCTAGGAGGAGGAGGAGGAGGAGGAGGAGGAGGAGGAGGAGGAGGAGGTGGCGTGCAGGAGGAGGAGGAGGCGGGGCGCAGGAGGAGAAGGAGGATATGGATGAGGAGGAGGAGGAGGAGGAGGAGGAGGAGGAGGAGGAGGAGGAGGAGGAGGAGGAGTAAAAGGACGAGGAGGTGTAGGAGGAGGAGGAAGAAGCTAGGAAGCAGGATGAGGAGGGAAATGATGATGAGGAGGAGGAGGGGGAGCAGGAAGGCGATGAGAAGGAGGAGGCGGAGTAGCAGCAGCAGCAGCAGGCCCAGCATCAACGATCTTGCAATAGTCCCTCCAAGTTCTCTCTTCATATGGCCTTTCAACAAATGTGCATTGCAACTTGCGTGGGTGCCCCATGGGAAGCTAACCGCCTGAGAATTTCAGATCACGCCAGAACTCTTTTCTTGGGACTTCGGTGCCGCGAGTCAACGTCTGGACACTCCGACGTAATTCGTGCCAGAACACGGTTCCTGAGTTTTTTTTCAGCGCAGCGAATCAACGTGACTGTCGCGTCGTGACAATCTCCAATCGTGCCAGAACAGCATTCCTGGGACTTCAAACACGCGACCCCTTGAAACTGTTGCAAGCTTGTGCGGCGAGTGTGCGCGGCGCGGAGGCGAGAGCCACATCTCGAAGACGTCCCGCCCTCCACTCGTGAAGCAGTTGCAGGCTGCTGCTGCGAAGTGCACGGCGCAGAGGCGGGAGCCATTTTGTGTATGTCCATCCGTGAAGCTGCTGCAAACTGTTAAGACGAGTGTGCGCGGCGCCAGGGCGAGAGACGCGTGTTGATACGTCCCGCCCGCCGTCCGTGAAGCTGTTGCAAATTTCAAGCCTCGGGGCCATGAGTGGTGAGGAAGTCCCGGACGGAACGCCCGGCCTGCCCTGCCGACACGTCTGTGTGTGTGACATGGAGGAGAGGCAGGAGGAAGAGGAGGAGGAGAGGGAGGAGGAGGAGGACGCGGAGGAGGAAGTGGAGGCGGAGGAGGGGGAGGAGGAGAAGGAGGATGGCGCGAAGCAGAACGGGGAGGAGAGAATGGATCGAGAGGAGTAGGGCGAGATGAAGAGAGAGAGAGAGAGAGAGAGAACAACACAGACATAAAGAGAAAGAGAAAGAGAGAACAGAGAGAGAGAGAGATAGGGACAGAAAGAGAGAGAGTCAGAGAGAGAATGAGACATCAAAGAGAGAGAGAGAGGGAGGGAGAAAGAGAAGGAGAGAGAGAGAGAGAGAACATAAAAAGCTGAAACACACACACACAGACACACAGACACACAGACACACAGACACACAGACACACAGACACACAGACACACAGACACACAGACACACAGACACACAGACACACAGACACACAGACACACAGACACACAGACACACCCACACCCCCACACCCCCACACCCACACCCACACCCACACCCACACCCACACACACACACACACACACACACACACCCACACCCACACCACACCCACACCCCACACCCCACACCCACCCCCACACCCACACCCACACCAACACCCACACCCACACCAAACCCACACCACACCCACACACACCCCCACGCCACCCACGCCCCCACGCCCCCACGCCCGCACGCCCGCACGCCCGCACGCCCGGCCACGCCCGCACGCCCGCACGCCCCACGCCCGCACCCGCCCCGCACGCCGCACCGCCCGCACGCCCGCCACGCCCGCACGCCCGCACGACCGCACGCCGCACGACGCCACGCCCGCACGCCGGCACGCCCGCACGCCCGCACGCCCGGCACGCCCGACACGCCCGCACGCCCGCAACGACGCACGCACGCAAGCACGCACGCACGCAGCACGCACGCACGCCACGCCACGCCGCACGCCGCACACACACGCACCAACACACCACACACACCACAACCCAACACACCCACACACACAACACCCACACACCCACACACCCACACACCACCCACCCACCACCCCCCACACAACCCCACACACCCACACCACCCACAACCCACACCCCACAACCCACACACCCACACACCCACACACCCAACCAACACCCAACACACCCACACACCCACCACAACCACACACACAGACACACAGGACACAGGGACAACACAGACACAGACACAGACACAGACACAGACACAGACACAGACACAGACACAGACACAGACACAGACACAGACACAGACACAGACACAGACACAGACACAGACACAGACACAGACACAGACACAGACACAGACACAGACACAGACACAGACACAGACACAGACACAGACACAGACACAGACACAGACACAGACACAGACGCACACACACACACACACATATACACACACAAATCACGACGTTTCGTCCCAGCGCCGAGGCTATCAATTCCGCGCGGGGTGAACCCTTGCGGCCAGGGGGGGGGGGGGGGGCGACGAGCGAGGCTTCCTGTGCCCGGGGATCAGCCAGAGCGCCCGATCTTGCAGGATCCTGCAGGGCCAGGGTCGCATTGACCCGGGCTTGGGTGCAGGATCTTGCAGGATCCTTCGCGTTGGCCCCGGCTTTGGCGCAGGATCTTGCAGGATCTTGCAGGATTGTGCGAGGCCTGACTGACCGGGGTCTGGATTGACCCGGGTCAGAAGATCCCCGAGAATGGGGGGCCACAGCGGATGGAAGGGCGGCTTGAATCGAGGCCTCCTAGATAGAGTTCTAGAACCCAGACCTCCTCGCGTCGTGGAAAAAAAACGCGACGGGAGATTTCTTTCGCTACTTGTTCGGCCTCCGGGGGCCCTTCCCGGGCCTGGGGACCGTCAAAGAACGGCTCAGGATAAAAAGCCGGTCCACAGGAAGGGATCCAGACCTTTGGGGGTCGACGTGCGAAAGTCACCACGTCGGATGTCTTGGCAGATGGTGTCGGAGGATCGAGCCGCATCGCCGATGCATCACCGATGCGGTTCGATGTGGGGCCCGATTTGCTTCACGTCGACGTCGCCGATGCATCGCTGGCGTCGACGATGCATCGCCGGTGCATCACCGATGTATCGCCGGCGCATCGCCGACGTATCGCCGCTGCGGCGCGATCCTCTAACCCCATTTACTCAGGGCGGCTTGAAGCTTCCCGAATCTTGGCTGCCAGGCAGGCGGACGGGGCTGGGTCCTGGAAGTGGGGGGTGATGCCCGCAGCTGTGGCCCACGGCCGCACGGAGGACGCAGGCGGACAGTTGGTCGCGGCTGAGGCGACGGCGAGCAGTGCGTAAGTTTGGGTGACGGTGGCACGTTGCGCTTGGCGCACTTTTCCCGGGCTGTCTGGAGGTGTGCCAGTCTGTGCTGCGCGTCGGTGCGGCGGGCGAGGCCAGCCTGGTACTGTCGTCGTCGTCGTCGTTGTTGTTTTCGGTGTTGTTGTTGCTGTTGTTGTTGTTGCTGTTGCTGTTGCTGTTGTTGCTGTTGTTGTTGTTGTTGTTGTTGAACTCTCACTTCTGAATATTAATTTTTGTTGACCCCCCCTCCGGTGACATATGTTTTTTGAATTGAAGTTCGCACCCTTCTTTATCATGGAAAGTCTTCCTGCTCAAACTGCGCCCCTGGCACCCGAGTTACAACAACAATGTATTCCCAAATCGCGCTCTCGCGTAGGACTTCCCCGGAGTTTATTCAAACACCGCGCCCTCGACACTCAGGAGTCACGCACTCGCTTTGGCTTATCTTGCGATTTACGTGGGAATCGCCCTATCGCTCGAGACTTCCTCGCGATTCATGCAGGACGCACGTTTCAGCAACCCGCCTGCTCGACCTGGCCGCCTGGGCCCGCCGTCGCCGTTGTCGTCGTCGTCGTCGTCGTTGTCGTCGTCGTCGTCATCCGTCGTCGTCGTCGTCGTCGTCATCATCAGCGTCTCTTCGTCGTCGTCGTCGTTCAATGCAGCTGGCGATGGCCCAGCTACCGCAGGCTGGTTCGATCATTCTTCCGCAAAAGCATAGTGCGGTGGCTCTCTCTCTCTTCCTTCTGGCCGGTGCTCGGTTGCAGTGCGACGCAGCCAACGCGCGTAATAA